CTCAGAACGTGGGGTGACTGCTCCAAACGCCCTCCCTGCCATGGTGGAGCCTGGGGTGGCTGACTGGGGAGCTTTTCAGGCACAGCCCTCTTCACCCAATGGACATTCTCTCTACAGGCCAGAAACATTGAGCTCTTCCTGCCGGGCATGATGAAGATCCTGCAAGTTGGCAGCGAAGATGCCCAGATGAAGATCTTGCTGGCCTTGCGAAATGTGCTGCATCAGCTGAAGAAGACCAAGGCCAGCTTCATCGCTGTGCAGCTTGTGGGGAGGCTCCTGCCCCTCTTTGACTCGGTAAGGCTGAGGTGGAGGCTGAACCCCTCAGATGGGCGCTGGGCAATGACAGCTGCCCTGCAGCCCAGCCCTGCGAGCAGCACTTGGAGCCAGCTACACTCCCCTGGGCTCTCCTGGGATGGCTTCTGGGCCGTGCAACCCAGTCCTGCTTCTTCTGGGATGTGAGGCCGGAGTCGCTGCCCTCCCCACAGCCATGATGACGGCCCTCTTCACTGTGGGCAGGGAGCTGCTGTTTGCAAAACTCCCTTTTCCTGCTTCCTGCCAGGAGTGCAGCGAGCTGCGAGAGCTCTCCATCTGCATGCTCACAGAGCTGCTGCAGTTCGTGGTCGGCAGGGATGAGAAGAGGATGAGGAAGGAGCTGTGGTGGGCACTGGTGCCTCTCCTCTTTCGTATGAGCGACCAGGTCCCCAGCGTAGCCAAGGTACAGGTTTGGAGGCTGAGCCCTGACACACAGAGGGCTGGGCTGACACCCCCAGGGCTCCTGGGCATCGGGGCAGGGGCTGCTGGCAGCGGGCAGCGCTCCCCCAGCACAGCCCGGGGGAAGGTCCGTGCGGAGCCAGCGCCAGCAGGGGCAGAGAAGCTGGCACGGCCCTGTGCAACACCTTCTCTGCCTGCTCCTGCAGGGCTCGGCAGCAGCCCGTGACCACCACGGCCTGAACAGGGGCATCCTCACAGGCTGTGTTGGAGGCCAGGCCTTTGAGCCTCCATGCCTGTCCCCCAGGGCTGTCCCCAAAAGCCTCCCAGACATTTGGGCTAGGGCATGTCCCAGCTTCCTAAAGGCAGGAACCCCCCAGGAACAAAGCCAAGAGGTCTCCTTGCCCAGGCCCCCAGGCCATCCCTGAGCTCATGCTGTCCTGCAGGCCTCCAGGGAAGCCCTTCTTGCTGCTGCCGAGCTGCTGAAGTGGAGGACGCTCAAGCACCTGCTGCAGAGAGAGCGGCTGTGGGAGCTTGGAGCGTGCTTGGTAAGGACAAGCTGTGGAGCCCGGGCTGGGGGAGGGCTGCCCCCATCCCATCCCAGGGCTGGGGGCTCTGCAGCTGGGCAGAGCCTGGAGCTGCATCCCTGTTGCTGCCCTCGAGAACAGAGCCCCAGGGGCTCTTCTGCAGGCCCCTGTCCCCTCTCTGTAGACAGCAGGAGGGGAGGCCTCTCCATCCCAGGGGGTGCTGGCAGGAGGCACTGCTCCAACCAACTGCCCCAGTGACAGCCCTGGAGAGACATGCCTTGTTCTCTCTGCAGCTTCAGAAGAGTGGGAGCAGGGTTGAAGCCTTCATCCATCAGAGCCTGCCCTACCTGCAGGACCCTCAGGCCAACGTGCGCCTGGCGGCCGTCAGGTTCATTGGTGAGTGCCAGCCCCTGCGGTGCCTCTGGGGCAGCCTGGCCCCTGTGCTGCTGCTGCTGCCACCCCAGCAATGCCCGGCCAGCCCGGGCAGGGCCTTACCTCCGTCTGCCAACCCTGCCCACGCAGCGGGGCTTGGTGGCCGCCTTGCCCAGTCCCACTGCCCTGAGCTTCTGGGGGCTCCTGGGCTCAGCCGTGCTGAGGGGGAGGTGGGTAGGACTGGGGGCCCTGCTGTTGGGAGCAGGCTGGGGAGCAGGGGCTAATGGAGCTCTGTGCCCAGGACTCATCACACGGCGCCTGAGGGAGCAGACCACAGACAGTCAGGCTGACATCCTGAGCGGTGAGTGGGGAGCGCGGTCTGTCGGGAATCCAGAGGCTCTCTGCAGACGGGGGGTTTGATCTGGGCTTTGTTTCTTTCCGTCACAGCGCTTCAGCCCTTGGAGAAAGATTGGGACATCTCTGTCAGTTCCCTGGCAGTTCAGACAACCTGCATTCTGAGGAGTCCCTGCGTGCAGCAAAGACCAAGAGGCCTCCTGGGAGCACTGCGCTGCTGCTGGCCGTGAGCCCGGCAGAGGTGCAGCTTGCCTTGGCTAAAGGACTGGCGCTGAATAAAGCTGGAACAACGTGCCCAAAGCCCTGGTGTCCTTCAGCTGCGCCGTGCTGAGTGTGCCGAGCCGACCGTGGCCTTCCTGGGCTGTCCCGCAGGCAGCGGGAGGCTCCCCCCTCAGCACCCCTGGCCCCAGGCTTGTGGGACAAGCTGAGCCCTGGCTGGGGCTTTCCCTGGGAGAAGCCTCCTTGGCTAAAGGACAAGCTGCTGCCCGAGCGTTCTCGCCCCATTTCAGGGTCACTGCCAATGTCACCCTGCCCTCTGCCGCTGTGAAGCTATTCCCCCTTGTCCTGTCACTCCAGGCCCTCGTATAAAATCCGTCTCCAGCTCCCTTGGAGCCTCTTTTAGGCACTGGAAGGGGCTGGAAGGTCACCTCAAAACCTTCTCTTCTCCAGCCTGGGCAGCCAAAGTTATCCCTGTGTCCCCACACAGTGCCCCACTCTGGGACCCCTGTGTCCTCCCAGGCCCAGCACCCCAGGAGGTGGCCCAGCAGCAAGCCCTTGAATTGTAGCTGCAGAGTCCCACGTTTCCTCGGCGGACTCCAAATTCCATCTCCGGTACCCCAGAATGCCCCATTGAGCCCTGCATTGCAACTGGGCGTCCTCAAAGGGTCTCCGGTGGCCCCCCCAGGCACAGAAGGCTGGAATCATGAAGGAATGTTCATCCCTGAGTGGGCTGCAGAGGATCCCAGAGCTTCCTGGGAAGTGCTGGGGCTCCAGAGCTTGAATCTGGAAATGAGTGAAGAGCTCTGTATTACACTTGTGGCACGGAAAGCCCTGGCAGGGTGGTTTCTGCTGGGGGGCTTGGGGTGCACTGAAGACCTCAGGAGCCTTTGTGTGTGACCATGAGGA